TCTTTTGCGGTGCGGCGGAGATTCCCTTAGCATTGAACAAAGAAAATGGAAAAACTGCAAACTGCACAAATAGAATGTCAGACTAGAAGTGACAAATGGTGTTTCCGTCATTCAGCTCAATTAAGAAATTAGAAACGCACCATTCTTGATTGCTGAGGTAGTTTTTGGTAGCTCGCTGTAACCCTTCAAGCTGCACTTTCATCTCTTCCTGTGTTGCCAGGACCTTCTGCATAGCGGTATGTACATCGTTCATCATCTGTAGCTTCGCAAAAAAAATTACGACGTGGCTTCACTGCTGGTACTTCATACTTCAAAAAATAAAATTGCAAAGCGACTAGCATGTGCATTCATCCCACTAGCACTGACGGCTTTATGTAGTAGTTTGGTTGTCCTATTAATGATATCTTTATATTTTAAAAGTGCCTTACTAGTAATGGTACTTCCATATATCAAGAAGAGAAGGTGCGAGGTGACCAAAATACACTTCCATCCACGAATTCTGTGGACTTTACACGATAACTCAGACGCTCTTGGTAATCCTAGCAACTGAGTAATGTTCCTCAACTAGGGTTCACAAGTAGGATTCTGTTACTGCTTAGCTCATCTCGACATGTAAGAAAAAATCCGTATTGAGGTAAAAAAGGGTATTAACAGCCGAGTAATTATTAAGTAAAAAAATATCTGGTCACCAACCCGATTAAGATTACGCGCGGATTCGAAGCTTGTTTCATTTATTACACGCATTTTATTCTTCACGCGACGAAAACTGTAACAGTGCAAACTTTTTGAAACCCGCAGAACTAAAATTCCAAGAAAGAAACATGAAAATTCTAATATCGTTTAGCAAACTGTTGTTTAGAAACAAGTGGAAGTAAATGTGCCAAATTTCCAAATTTTGTACGTTGCAAGTCGAAAATGATATAACCGCTCTTTGTAAAAAGAGCACCCCCCTCGCGAAGCAGCTTATGTGTTACCAAGTACCAAGAACAATCACTCTAAGGCAAAGCTATTGATAGATTCCTCTTCGGTGCAGCGGAAATCCCGCGAAATCCGACAGTTTTTGGAAAAGTATGCTATGAACCGTGCAGCGGTCAGAAAACAGAGAGTAGAAGGAGGGAGGGGGAGGGGGTACCAAATATACAGAACACAGCTGCTCGAGCAGATGCTTGACGGACACGAATTAGCGGTGCAGTGGTCTAGCACATTGCGCGCGAGTGTGAAGACGAGTGAGTTGTTTCCCTCTTGGTCCATAACTATATTCAGAATGGGGCTCCGTCTATGAGATATGGTGAATTTAACTCCTTGGCATGCGCCAGTACCAGTTTACCATCCGAGCGATTGAAAGAAGTGCAGCGAAACTGGTTATCCCACTGACGGAATTGAATCATTGACCAGTACTGAGCGTAGTGCTTCTTGTAATTACATCAGACTCACCAACGAAGTTTCGTGCTACTGCTTTTTTTCATTAAATTAAGCCAAAGGGTAAATCTTGTGCTTATCAAGCACTCTCACTTGTGGATGGATCCCAAAAATTTGCGCTGATAATCACGAAGAACGCTATCCGCATGCTTGCTCTGCGATGCGGTAAGGCACTTGTAGATATGCCAAGTGTGCTGAAGGACCCGTGCTGCTGCATGCTTGTATTCTTTGGTAAGTTTCGAATCATTCATAAAATTGTTCACATTTCGCTGATCTTCCGTTAACAAAATTTTACGCGATATCACAGCAATCAGAATCGATGATACTGTTGCGCCCTGCAGTTTCGCAATTGAAGTTTTGTACCCCGATAAAGTGAAACCTTAATTAAAAGTAGCACAGCTAAGGAAGGGGACCTAGCAGACTTAAGGTTTGCACCAATCTTTTTCAATGACGTTTGGTAATTCTTCCTTCAAAGAGTCTGATTTCAAATCCATCATGCAACAGGTCGTGAAATTAGTTTGCTGATAGTATGCATAGGCTGTCATAGAGGCTTTCGAGAAGTAAAATCAAAAAAAAGGCAAGCATAAAACCAAAAGGCAAAATCAAGATGCTAACCACAACTCCAACGAAGATGGCTATGATACGGCCACATTGAGTTCGGGGTACAATGTCTCCGTAACCGTTGAGCATAAAAGTGATCGCTAAAAATTTG